GGGGGGGGGGGGGGGCAGAAGGAAGGTGAATGCCAGTGAGTTAATGATATTAGGGGTGGGGAAAGGTAGATGTGTGTGAGCTAATGGTATTAGAGGTGATAATTGGGGAAGCTATCTTTGTAATGGGTAAGGTAGTTGGGGTCTTTGTTCAATCCCCCCCGGAGAGTGTCAAATTTTAGCATGAATGACAGTTCAGAGAATTCCCTTTCAAGTGCAGATGTATGTCATTCATGCTAAAATTCGACACTCTCCGGGGGGATTGAACAAAGACCCCAACTACCTTACCCATTACAAAGATAGCTTCCCCAATTATCACCTCTAATCACCTCTAATTATCACCTGCCCCATTGCTAGGGCCATCCTGCTGCCGCCGGGAATTCCAGTCACCTGCCTTCACCAGCCCTGCTTCAGCCAGGGGTTGCCCAGTGGAGGCTAACAGTCACCCCAGATTCGCTGTCACTGGAGGTTTCCTGGGGTTCCTGGCCAAGGCTACCCAGCGGCGGGGAGGAATTCCCTGGCTAAGGCTGACCCAGCCACCTGCCCCCACTACTGACAGGGGTTCCCCGGCATGGGCGGGAGATCTCAGGCTGCCACCTGGCCCCATTGATGCTGGGGGTTCCCTGGCTAGGGCTCCCTGGCCACCACCTGGCCCCGTTGATGCTGGGGGTTCCCTGGCTGGGGATGGGGCTCCCTGGCTGGGGGTATCAGGCCAGGGCAGAGGCTCCCCAGACACCACTTGGCCCATCTGGGGCTCCCCTAGCCCATGCGTTGCTCCAGGGCTCTTTAGTCCAGAAAAATCCCTGGCCCTGCCAGACCACAGCTGTTGCTGGACCAGAGAGTCATGGATTTGGGAGATTCAACCTGTGCAGTTATATTGTAGGACTTAAAATAAGTTTGATTATTTGGTGTTATGTAACCTTATACCATGGTGAGTACTACAACTGGAAATTGTGGAACTCACTGAGCTGGGCCATATATGAGTGCGTGGGATTGTAACCTGGCAGATTGTGCTGCTGTTCTTCCATTCAATTGCACCCACAGAAATCATGACTCTAACAACCCCAAATCTGAGTGGTATTTGTGACCCCATGCACCAGGTCACATCACGCAGAGTGGGGAGCCAGACTCAGATCCCGCTCCCAAGACAAAAGCTGCCACTGTGGGATGAGTGCAGGGCGAGCTCACTTTCCAGACACCGCAACCCCCATCCCAGAACCTACACACACATATACAGACACACACGGCGATGCTAAGGAAGAGAGTGCTGCTGTGCTGGTCAGTGCCCTTCTTGACTATGTCCAAGAAGACTTTAGTATCCTGCTCCCTATTGAACTGGGTGCCTCATCCACCTGTGGTGTTCACCACCTCACCTGATTATGCCTGAATAAGCCAATGCCATTGACAACCTTGTAACATGTCTACAGATCATTTTCCCACTTTAAACGCATAAGTTATTTGTATGCCAATAACAGTATGAAACTGAATTTAAAAAGCAGTATCCCACCTGTATAGAGAAACTCTGTTCATCTATTTCATTCTGTCTCACAAGAACATAGGTTGATTTCCCAGAGAAATAGTAGTAGAGTCCATCAAAGGTTTCAAAATGGTATTGACCCCACGTACGGCATATGTTATCCCTTTCAGCACCTGTGTTGTACACTAGGCAGACAAAATGAGAAAAATTTGAATAGCATTAACTTTTTTTTTTTGACCAAACAGTAATGTTTAAAAAACACTGTTGCAGGACACCTGCAACACTCAGAGTGGAAGAGATATGAGCTAACATTTTCAACTCTTTAGTTATGTGTTAGCAAACCCCAAGGCGAACAGGAAAGCAGGCAGTGGCCAGGAGTTGTGCAACTCCAGCTCTGCTAGTGTACTGGCTGTCCACAGAACAGGGAGTAATGGTGAGCTTTGATGTATTTTGGCAAAGGTCTCCATGTGGCTGTGGAGCCTGTGTATTCTTAACCTCGCCCTGAACAGACTGTACTGCTATACAGATTTTTTTTTCCCTACGCACCTGTCTGGCATCTTGATCCAGTGGCATTAAATCGACTGCAGTCACAGAGCCCTCTGTGCACACATTCACCTCCATTAAAGCACATGAATCCACCTAAGTAAAGACACAAAGCATATTCAAAACTAAGTGTGATAAGAATTTACATTTACAAGGCCCAATTCTACCACTGGATGTAACTTGCATGTGGCCAGCGGGTACTGGCTATGCACCTGAAGGCTGGATGGGCTAACATATTTCAACCTGAAGGGTCCCAAAGAGCTGCACAAACAATATTCATACAGGAATAATATGACTATTTGAATGCATACACCTGTGACGATTTCAGCCAAATGAACACACTAAAATTAGAACATGCCAAAATCACCAGGAATGCATATATTCTGATAACAAAGGCACCCTGAGGTGCTTATACCCATCTATCATTGTAGTATTGGGGAGTCAACACAAGGATGGCAGCATACCTTAGTATCTAAGGGTGCGTCTACACTACAGCACTAATTCGAACTAACTTAGTTCGAATTAACTAATTCGAACTAAGTTAGTTCGAATTAGTGCTGTAGTGTAGACGCACCCTTAGATACTAAGGTATGCTGCCATCCTTGTGTTGACTCCCCGATACTACAATGATAGATGGGTATAAGCACCTCAGGGTGCCTTTGTTATCAGAATATATGCATTCCTGGTGATTTTGGCATGTTCTAATTTTAGTGTGTTCATTTGGCTGAAATCGTCACAGGTGTATGCATTCAAATAGTCATATTATTCCTGTATGAATATTGTTTGTGCAGCTCTTTGGGACCCTTCAGGTTGAAATATGTTAGCCCATCCAGCCTTCAGGTGCATAGCCAGTACCCGCTGGCCACATGCAAGTTACATCCAGTGGTAGAATTGGGCCTTGTAAATGTAAATTCTTATCACACTTAGTTTTGAATATGCTTTGTGTCTTTACTTAGGTGGATTCATGTGCTTTAATGGAGGTGAATGTGTGCACAGAGGGCTCTGTGACTGCAGTCGATTTAATGCCACTGGATCAAGATGCCAGACAGGTGCGTAGGGAAAAAAAAATCTGTATAGCAGTACAGTCTGTTCAGGGCGAGGTTAAGAATACACAGGCTCCACAGCCACATGGAGACCTTTGCCAAAATACATCAAAGCTCACCATTACTCCCTGTTCTGTGGACAGCCAGTACACTAGCAGAGCTGGAGTTGCACAACTCCTGGCCACTGCCTGCTTTCCTGTTCGCCTTGGGGTTTGCTAACACATAACTAAAGAGTTGAAAATGTTAGCTCATATCTCTTCCACTCTGAGTGTTGCAGGTGTCCTGCAACAGTGTTTTTTAAACATTACTGTTTGGTCAAAAAAAAAAAGTTAATGCTATTCAAATTTTTCTCATTTTGTCTGCCTAGTGTACAACACAGGTGCTGAAAGGGATAACATATGCCGTACGTGGGGTCAATACCATTTTGAAACCTTTGATGGACTCTACTACTATTTCTCTGGGAAATCAACCTATGTTCTTGTGAGACAGAATGAAATAGATGAACAGAGTTTCTCTATACAGGTGGGATACTGCTTTTTAAAGTCAGTTTCATACTGTTACTGGCATACAAATAACTTATGAGTTTAAAGTGGGAAAATGATCTGTAGACATGTTACAAGGTTGTCAATGGCATTGGCTTATTCAGGCATAATCAGGTGAGGTGGTGAACACCACAGGTGGATGAGGCACCCAGTTCAATAGGGAGCAGGATACTAAAGTCTTCTTGGACATAGTCAAGAAGGGCACTGACTAGCACAGCAGCACTCTCTTCCTTAGCATCGCCGTGTGTGTCTGTATGTGTGTGTAGGTTCTGGGATGGGGGTTGCGGTGTCTGGAAAGTGAGCTCGCCCTGCACTCGTCCCACAGTGGCAGCTTTTGTCTTGGGAGCGGGATCTGAGTCTGGCTCCCCACTCTGCGTGATGTGACCTGGTGCATGGGGTCACAAATACCACTCAGATTTGGGGTTGTTAGAGTCATGATTTCTGTGGGTGCAATTGAATGGAAGAACAACAGCACAATCTGCCAGGTTACAATCCCACGCACTCATATATGGCCCAGCTCAGTGAGTTCCACAATTTCCAGTTGTAGTACTCACCATGGTATAAGGTTACATAACACCAAATAATCAAACTTATTTTAAGTCCTACAATATAACTGCACAGGTTGAATCTCCCAAATCCATGACTCTCTGGTCCAGCAACAGCTGTGGTCTGGCAGGGCCAGGGATTTTTCTGGACTAAAGAGCCCTGGAGCAACGCATGGGCTAGGGGAGCCCCAGATGGGCCAAGTGGTGTCTGGGGAGCCTCTGCCCTGGCCTGATACCCCCAGCCAGGGAGCCCCATCCCCAGCCAC